CCCCCCCCATTTTTCCTCTGTATTTTTAGCTATACCCTAGGGTGTGTCAAATTATATGATTACTGTTATCTAGGCTGTAGTGGGTTTAGCCTTAGGGGGTACAGTAAGTTGCTCGACACTTCATTGTATCCCCCTCCTTGCCCTAATCCACACCATTCCTTCCTAGTATTCTAACATGGTATTAAGAGCTAGGACCTTCCTAGCCTAGGACCTATTTTTTCAAAGGGCCCACCGTTAAAACCTTCCGTGTTCCTGCCCGAATCGCACCCTAGGCGCGTTCCTTTATTTTTCTGCCCGAAATGCGCCCTTAGGTGCGTCGATTTTCGCTGCTCAGCCCGCTGCCCCGCTGCCGTGCCCTGTCCTGTCGCGCGCAGCCCGTACAGCCCGCACGCAGCCCGCGAGCAGCCCGTACAGCCCGCGTCACGCCCACGCGCAGCCCGTACAGTCCGCGCTAGGCCTTCTCGCAGCCCGTACAGCCCGCGTCACGCCCGCGCGCAGCCCGTACAGTCCGCGCTAGGCCTTCGCGCAGCCCGTACAGCCCGCGCCAGGCCCGCGCACAGCCCGTACAGCCCGCGCCAGGCCTGCACGCTACACTGCGCCTGAGCTGCTGCTGCTACAATTTGCTGCAGCTGCTTCTCCTTGCTGTTGCTGCTGCTACTTGCTGTAGCTGCTCCTCCTTGCTGCTGCTACTTGCTGCAGCTGCTCCTCCTTGCTGCTGCTGCTGCTACTTGCTGCAGCTGCTCCTCGTTGCTGCTGCTGCTGCTGCTACTTGCTGCAGCTGCTCCTCCTTGCTGCTGCTGCTGCTACTTGCTGCAGCTGCTCCTCTTTCCTGCTGCTGCTGCTCCTTGCTGCAGCTGCTCCTCCTTGCTGCTGCTGCTGCTGCTACCTGCTGCAGCTGCTCCTCCTTGCTGCTGCTGCTGCTGCTGCTGCTACTTGCTGCAGCTGCTCCTCCTTGCTGCTGCTGCTGCTGCTGCTGCTGCTACTTGCTGCAGCTGCTGCTGCTACTTGCTGCAGCTGCTCCTCCTTGCTGCTGCTGCTGCTGCTGCTACTTGCTGCAGCTGCTCCTCCTTGCTGCTGCTGCTGCTACTTGCTGCAGCTACTCCTCCTTGCTGCTGCTGCTGCTGCTGCTGCTGCTACTTGCTGCAGCTGCTCCTCCTTGCTGCTGCTCCTCCTTGCTGCTGCTGCTGCTGCTGCTACTTACTGCAGCTGCTCCTCCTTGCCGCTGCTGCTGCTATTAAGTTGCTGCTGCCACCTGCGCTGCTGCTGCTGTTAAGCTGCTGCTACTGCTGTTAAGCTACTGCTGTCGCCTGCGCTGCTGCTGCCACCTGTGCTGCTGCTGGTGCGCTGGTGCTGCTGCTAAGCTGCTGCTCCCGCCTGCGCTGCTGCTGCTGTTGCTAGGCTGCTGCTGCCGCCTGAGCTGCTGCTGCCGCCTGCGCTGCTGCTGCCACCTGTGCTGCCGCTGCTGCCGTAACTGCCACTCCTGCTGCTTGCTGCCGTTCGTGCTGCTATGGCGACTCCCACTGTTCTAGCCTTTGACGCAGTAGGGAAACCTTTAGGGTTTGACTCCTGGCTAGAGGGGCTGCACCTGTACCTCCGGAATGTCAAACGGGACAACGTCTCCCTGTTCGAGCACACGTCGGGGTCCCTTCCGGCCCCAGAGGCTCCTGCTGAACCTGCTGCTGACGCTGAGGAGGAGGAGCGGACGCAGTTCCGCGCAGCTCACCTTGCCTACAACCGGTGGATGGCGCGAGACGCTGCCGCCTCACTTGCAGTTCGCCTTCACCTCTCGTTCGACCAGCGAGCCTTCTTCCCCAGGAGCCAGGTGCCGTCGGCCCATGCTTTGTATCCCGCTGTGGTTAGGCGCTACTCCCCCCCCCTCCTGCAGTCCTAGGCTGTCTTGCGCTGCCTCTTACCTTCCCTGCGCTGTCAGACCTCACCACTGTAGCTAACGAGGGTCGTAGTGGAGCTGGCGGGAGTGGCGGGGGCGGGCACCAGGAGTTAGAGCCTCTGTGTGTCGCTGCTTGTGCGCCTACTAGCACAGTCTATGCACACCCCTCCACTGTTCTCCCGTGTCTCGTAGTCCCCTCTGACTCCTCTGGCTCGACCGAGGGGGATGACCCTACTGCTGCCGACACAGCGACCTCTCGCCGCTCACCGCGCTTGGAGACACCTCCTGGTTTTCCGCCCCGGACGTCTTCGCCTCCTCTGCAACCTGTCGCTGCGGACTTCGGGGGCCCAGGTGTTGTTGGGGGTGGTGACGCTGAGGGTTTTGGTTCTGGGGGTGCTAGTTCTGGGGGTGCTGCCTCTGGGGGTGCTGCCTCTAGGGGTGCTAGGAGTCCTCTTGTTGGTGGAGTTGGAGGTACTGGCGCTAGAGGTGCTGGGTCTGGGGGTGCGTTGCAGTCGCTGCCACGGCAATCTATCTTCTTTGAGCAGCCGTCGTCGTGGCTACCTGAGCCGACGCCCACTTCTACTACTCCTCCTCTGTTGTTTCCGCCGCCTGCCTCCCCACTGCCTGCTCTTGTTCGATACGCCCCGTTGTCCGTCTTCCTGACTGGGCGTCGGGAGCCTGCGTCTTGTGCCGCCTCCCGTGCTCCCTCTCGTATTACTCGGGGGCCTTTTGTCCTGCCGTTACCTCCCCCGTCTTCTCTTCCTCCTGTTCCTGACCCTGTGTCTGACCTTGCTCGTGCTGCCAGCCTGACTGTCCCTCGTATTCTAGCCGCGCTTGTGACTGCACCTGCTTCTTCGACTGCTGCTGCTTCTGCCTTAGTAGCTGATCTCGCTGGTTTTGTCGCTACTTGCCGTCGTACCTACCTTACTGGTCTCGTCTCTGTCTCTTCGTGTTCTCCGTCTGTTGGGGGGTGAGTTTGCCCTTGGCTGTGACGTCCTTGAGGACACACAGTTCGAGCTGGTGTACCATCCTGCGCACTGGCGGGCTGCTAGGAGGGAGTTGCGCTACCTGGTCAGACTAGCGAGCAGAACGTAGCACTTTGCACTTCGTTCCTTTGCCGTGCGAGTGTTGCAGCAGCGTTCCCAGCTTCGCCTTTGTACGTGGCCACACGAGCCAACACTGCTTGTCTCTTGATCTTGTCTTGTACTCTGATATATAAACCTGCATGTTTCTGGTTGCTAGGTTGTAATCATTGTACTACTTGCTCTATTATAAAACTCCATGTGAACTGGCCTTGTGGCCGCTTGCTTGTGCTCAGAATGCGTGGTGATCTTGAGATCCACCCTGAGCTTGATTTGTTTTGTTTCTTCTCTTGACTGATCTTGTGACCACTTGTTGTGTTTGCTATCCCCCACTTCGCCTATGGGGGTGTGTCAAGTTATATGATTACTGTTATCTAGGCTGTAGTGGGTTTAGCCTTAGGGGGTACAGTAAGTTGCTCGACACTTCATTGTATCCCCCTCCTAGCCCTAATCCACACCATTCCTTCCTAGTATTCTAACATGGTGTTATGTCTGGGAGAATACGGTAGATCCTCCTCCTCGTTTTCCCCATTGACCCTTGCTCACCGCCGCCTTGGTCATACCGCCTCCACAACACTGCAACAGATGGCTCGGGAAAACAGTGTACTGGGCTTGGAGTTTGGGGGGGGGAGCACTGATCGCTCTCCATGTGAGCCTTGCTTATTGGGAAAGTCGGCTCGAAAGCCGTTTTTCCATGAGCCGTCCCCGTTTCCCAGTTCAACAAAATGAATAACAAGAATCGATGAATGTTGCATCATTACATAGAGAGAGGGAATGGGGTAACCATCTGTAGGGCATAATCAGCCGTACCATACACCGTTCCAGTGCCCCCTCTACCAGCTCTGCTTTAATAAAAATCCCAACTGCACAACCCGTCTTACCGAAATCATTGCCTTGCCTCGAGAATCGCAAGCACTACAACAGTCACTGCTGCATTGCGCAGGCAAAAATTAATCACTCACAACCAGCCCCAAATCACTGGCCAAAATTTGCTCATTTGAGTACGGTAGTCTAGCATGTAACAAGTCACTTCTAAGGGTGCATTCATGTGGGGACACAAGTGTCTCAATCCCCTTTTTCCATCGAAACATTTTGTCAATCTCGCATCACAAAAAATGAATGTATCGCGACTCTAGGCGACCACACAAAATGTGCAGTTGTGTGAATTTGATTGGGTGACACAAATGACTGTACATCCCTTTTTCAACCACTTTGCTGGGGTGTGGTTTCGACGCGCGGGATTTTTTCCCGCACGAAATTGGCATTGCAGGCTGTCCAGGTGCATTGACATTTCGAGCCACGTGCGATTTTTTCACATTGACGAGTTGGATTACAATCCGTCAGCGACGTCAGCGCGCTTCACGCTGACCAATAAAAAATACAGTAATGGTCGCGGAAAGGCGACTCGCAATTGGGACACACTACAGTTTATGCTGTTTTTGTGTGTCACAAAGCGATTGAGACATTTGTGTCCCCCAAGGAATGCACCCTCAAATGCATATGATACCACGCCATACCCAATCTCACTGCACCTGTCACCACACCTCTAAACCAGGCAGAACGAGGTGGTTCTGCCATTGGTGGTGATGGTGCTTCTGCTGCTCCCACTCTGCTGCCGCTGCTGCAACACCTGCTGAGCTGACTCTGCTGGCACTACTGGACATAGCTGCGGCAACTGACAAATAAGGGGATCAGTCACAAAGAAAAGTTTTTGCTGGAACACCAATAAATAGGCTCTGAGCTACTGATGCTGCTGGCGAGGAGCCGCTTGGAGGAGGGTGTGGGAGCGAGTGTGTGACTAGTGCGTGCGCGGCTAAGGAAAGCAAGCGATCATGCTTGACTCGTGTGTGACGAGCCGACGAAAGCCAGTGCTAAGTATAGTACGATAGATAGTGCGTGCATTGAGGAAGAAACGAAGCTCGTGAGCGAGAAGGAACGGATGCAAGTGGTGAGGAGGAACGGAGGCAAGTGGTGAGGAGGGAGGCTAGTGAGTGAGGAGGAGGGGGAATAGGGTGTGAGAAGGAGGGGGGCTAGTGAGTGAGAAGGAACTGGAAGGTGCTGTTGTCGCGAATGGCTGGTGGCAGCTGCAGTGACCGTAGGTCAATCTCGTGGGTGCTCTTTGAAATGTCCTCCACAGAAAAAGGGATGCTGGGGTGGGCATGGAAGGGGAGTTGGGTGGGGGCGGGGGATAGAAGGGAGACATGAGGGGAGACATGAGGGGAGGGGAGGTCAATTCCATGGGAAGGTAAGTCCAGTAAATGAAAAGACATTCACAATCCTGTCACCCACCTGGAATCATCGTCCAATAAAAACGAGTTGCTGACGGATGCGCTGTTCTCGTCGCTCATACGCCTCCGCATCTCTGAAATGACTTCAGAGGAGACGGTGTGGGTGCCGTACTTGTCGTCCCAGTACATGGTGCTGATGCGGTACAGCTGCTGGATGCTCAGCGCCGGGCAGAGGTCCGATGTGATCTCCTGCATGCTCTTCTTGGGCTTCTGGTGTATCACCTGTTGGATCCGGGGGAGGGGGGAAGATGGGGGATGGGAGGAAGGGGAAGGGGGGAGAGGGGAGAGAGGAGAAGGGGAGAGGGGAGAAAGGGAGAGTGGGGGGGGGGAAGATAGAGAGGTGGGGAGGAGGGAGAGGGGGAGAGGGAAGGTGAGGGAGAGAGGGGGAGACGGTGTGCGTGCCGTACTTACTGTCCCAGTACATGGTGCTGATGCGGTACAGCTGCTGACTGCTGAGCGGATGGGGGTCATACTAGAGCTCTTCCCATGCGGTGCCACTGTACTCGTGTGTTGCCTTGCGCAGCCTAAACAAACTCGTCCATCCAACAATCTAACAAAGGGTACCCAGTACTTACCAGGAAGCCAACAGCCTGGCGGATATACTTAAGCTCCTCCCATGCATTTCCGGTGTACTCATGAGTTGCCTCGTGCAGCCAGTGGTCCAACTCGCCCAGCCTAGGATCAACTTCGGTCAACTCAGAACGCGTCTGCAAGGGTACCTACCAGGAAGCCGACAGCCTGGCGGATATACTTGAGCTCCTCCCACGCGTTGCCCGTGTACTCATGAGTTGCCTCGTGCAGCCAGTGGTCCAGCACACACTAAGTCTTGAGCCGGTTTAACCACTAGCCAGCGATGCAAATCGCCCATTCACAAGAGGAACCTACCAGGAAGCCGACAGCCTGGCGGATATACTTGAGCTCCTCCCACGCGTTGCCCGTGTACTCATGAGTTGCCTCGTGCAACCAGTGGTCCAACTCGCCCAGCCCTGCCTTCACGTACTCGCCATTGCTGAAGGAGCAGCACTCACGACGTAGCAGCAGACTGCAGAAGTGGTTCAGGAGGGGGGAATAGGGCGGAAGATAGAAGCGATGATCAGCAGGCACCAAGGTTCAAAATTACGGTTTCCATATAATACAGTCCGTTTTTGAAGGTAAATGTAGAATCTAAAGTATTTTTTTACAAATACAAAAAAAAACAAATAGACGGCCGTTTTTTTGTCAGAGGACTTACCAAAAAAAAAAAAAAAAAAAAAAAAAAGGATCTTTAGAGTAGGGTAGGTAGTGTGGGACCTGCTTGCACACAGGGACAGAGGACTGAGCTGCCTAAAAAACCCTCTGGAAGCCCCTCAAACCCTCTCAACCGAACCACAATTCCCCCCACCCCCTTCCGCCCACCTGTTGAAGAGCTGGACGTTGATGAAGGAGAAGATCTGAGTAACCAGCTTGCGCATGAGAGGGGAGGATCGGATTGCCTAATAAACCCTCTGGAAGCCCCTCAACCCCTCTCAACCGAACCACAACCCACACCACACCCTTCCACCCACCTGATGAAGAGCTGGACGTTGATGAAGGAGAAGATCTGAGTAACCAGCTCGCGGACAGGGAAAGAGGACCGAGCTGCAAAAAACCCCTCTAGATGCTCATCAACCCCTCTCAACCGAACCACAAGCCCTCCCACCTGTTAAATAGCTGAACGTTGATGAAGGAGAAGATCTGAGTGACGAGCTTGCGAACGAGGAAAGACGGCACATGGGAGTCCTTGAGCGTGGTGAGCAGCGTGGTGAGTGTGGCGATGATGCTGCCCCAGTGCGAGCACACTCACTCACATCCCTCCTGCCCCACCCGCTACCCTCTTCCCCCCACCTGTTGAAGAGCTGAACGTTGATGAAGGAGAAGATCTGGGTGACCAGCTTGCGCACGAGGAAAGACGGCACATGGGAGTCCTTGAGCGTGGTGAGCAGCGTGGTGAGCGTGGCGATGATGCTGCCCCAGTGCGAGCTCAGTGCGTGCGTGGCTGTGGCCACCGGCGCCCCCCGGTGGGATGAGTGCCGCCCGTATGCCGCCCGGGAGATGCGCGGCGCCTGATGGTGGATGGGGTGAGCGACGGGGGGTGGGATGGGGTGCATGGTATGGGGGTTGGGGGGTGCAGGGGTGTGTGGATGGTATGGGGGTGGGGGATGCAGGGGTGTGTGGATGTTTGAGTCAGAAAGGGTGAGAGAAAGAGAAACAAAGAAGCATGGGGCGTGAGTGGATGGGGCAGCAGCAGCGTGGTGAGCGTGGCAATGATGCTGCCCCAGCCCAGCACGAGCTCAGCGCACTTTGAGACGTCTCAAAAGACGGGGCAGCAGCAGCGTGGTGAGCGTGGCGATGATGCTGCCTCAGTGCGAGCTCAGTGCATGGCACACTGCACACCACACACATGTGCCCATCAGACACACTCACACATGCGCAAGCACGCAGTGCGAGCTCAGCTCATTGCACACTGCGAACCACTGCACACCACACACAAGTGCCCATCAGACACACTCACACATGCGCAAGCACACACCCCACCACCCCCTCACCAAAGCGCACCGAGCGAGGGTGGGCAGGAACACCTTCTTCAGGTTCTCTCAGCTGAAATCTTATAAATCCTCTCCTCCTATAAATCTTCTCCACACACGCCGTCAGCTGCTGCTTGAACCGCAGTGCCCCACGCATACTCACATCACACATGCCCCACACACAAGCTCATAGTCCCCCTTTTTTCCCAAATCCCCCCTCCCCCATGCTCACCTAAATGCACTGCGCAAGAGTGGGCGAGATCTCCTTCTTGAGGTTGTCTCGAATCATCCCATAAATCTTCTCCACATAGGCCGTCAGCTGCTGCTTGAACAGCAGCGCCCCCCACACACACACGTGCTCCATCCACATAACCACACGCACACTCTCCCCACACACACACACATGCACCCTACACCATCCCACGCTCACCTGAATGCACTGAGCGAGGGTGGGCGAGATCTCCTCCTTAAGATTGTCATGGATTATCCCGTGAAATCTTCTCCACATACGCCGTCAGCTGCTGCTTGAACAGCAACACCCCACATGCATACCCCCCCCACACCACACACACTCATACCCCCCCCTTCCCTACACGCATATCCAACCCCAGCCTCACCTGAATGCACTGGGCGAGGGTGGGCGAGATCTCCTTCTTGAGGTTGTCTCGAATCATCCCATAAAACTTCTCCACATACGCCGTCAGCTGCTGCTTGAACAGCAGAGCCGGGTACTTGGCATCCACCTGGGGGATGTGCTCCAGGCCCCCACTCGCCCCCACCACCCCCGTGGGTGTTGTAGGCGAACCTCCTCGGAAGCTCTGAAAGGGAACCGAGTGGGAGGATGGGAAGTGGGAGGATGGGGGGGGGGCTCAGGAGAAGAGGAGAGGGGGATTTCGGGTGGGAAAAATAAGTCATGAAGAGCCGGGTACTTGGTTCCACCTGGGGGATGTGCTCCAGCCCCCCGCTCGCCCCCACCACCCCTGTGGGCGTTGTGGGGGAACCTCGGAAGCTCTGCTGGGGGGAAGGAGAAGGGCAGAGAGGTGAGGAATGGGAGATGGGGATTGGATGGAAGAAAGAGGGGAAGCAAGGTGCTTGGCCTCCACCTTTGGGGTGTGCTCCAAACCCCCACTTGGGACGGCATAAGTAACACAATGAGGACTGGGGACGACTACAAGTATTAGGGGGAGCAGGGTGCTTGGCCCCCAATCCTCTGCTCTGCTGATTCTCTATCGCCCCACTTCGAAGCCATGGCAACCCTCACACCCAGTGCCCCTGAGCCTTCCCAAAACCCCATACCGCACCTGTAGCTATTGTCTGCTACCCAAACACCCCCTACCTGGGTCATGCGGCCAAATAGAGTCGTCTGCTGCATCCCGCTTCTCCTCCGCTGCGCCTGTGACCCCGGCGCCCCGCTCGCCTTGAGTGTGCGCTGCAGCAGGAACAGCAGGCAGCTGGTGTTGGCCAGCCAGTAGGCGAGCCTCTCATTGCTCTGCTGGTTCTCGATCGCCCCGCCGATGGTCTGGATGATGCGGTCGAACACGCTCGTGCGCTCCGCCTCAAACGACCGCCAGTGCAGCAGCGCCTTGTACGTCACACACGCCACCACCGGCCGGCTGCTGTCGAACCCCACCTCGCTCACTATCACCTTCAAGAGCGCCTCCTGGTCTTGCTGTTAGCGGCAGCATAGGGAAGGGATGGCAGCAGGCGGGGGCACCATGGGGGGACAGGACAGGGTCAGTGAGCAAGACACCACCGGCCGACTGCTATCGAACCCCACCTCGCTCACTGTCGCCTTCAGCAGCGCCTCCTGGTGTCTTGCTGTTCAGGGCAGGGCCAAAGGACAGGGTGAATGAACAAGCTACCACCGGCCGGCTGCTGTCAAACCCGAGCTCGCTCACTATCACCTTCAGCAGCGCCTCCTGGTCTTGCTGTTGGGGGCAGCAAGAGAGCCTCCTGGTCTTGCTGTTGGGTTGCGGACGGGGAGGGGGCAGGGCAGCAGAGAAAGGATACCAATTTTCACAGTTGTTCAATTCAAACGCTTCAGCTTCTTGCTCTCCACTTCACTATGCTTCACTAGGAATAGTAAGGCTGCCATGAGGAGGAGACAATGGTGGGTGCAACATCTCAGGTACTTCCGCCATGCTAAGGTTTGGATTATGATTCCTGTGCGCTCATATGATGTGTCTCTTGGACCACTCACCGTCTGCCGGTCGTTCAGGTGCTTCAGCCGCTTGCTCTCCACCTCACTGGGCGTGGCAGGCGTGCCCTGAGGGGACTCTGGCGGATGCAGCATCTGGGAACGCGGGGTGGTGGGCGAAGGGAGGCCGCCCTCCAGCTGCTGACGTGTGTACAGCGAGGCTGGCAAGGGGCCACGTGGCAGCCCGGGCTTGGCTGGCATGGCGGCTGACAGGGCCTGCTGACGCAGCACCTGGTTCTCCTGCTCCGCGTTCTTCACCTGCTCCTCGAGTCTGGAAGGGAAGTGAGGGAGGGAGAGGGCGAAAACAGCGGGGGGAGAAAAAGGGAAGAAACAGAGCTGATGGATTAGAAAACTGCTTTGTTTCGCAGAGGGATTTCAGCAGTAGGACCACACACACACACACACCAACTCGCTGCATCCAACACCCACTCACCGCGCCCAACACCCACTCACAGCACATCACCCATGACCCACTCACCGCGCGCACAGCTCCTGCACCTTGCGCAGCTCCTCCTGCGTCTCCTCCAGCAGGCGCTCCCTCTTGCCAATCTCCTCCCTCACCTCCGCCTCCACCTGCGCCACCCGCTCGTCACTCTCCGCCAGCAGCGCCTTCAGCTGAGCATTCTCCACCGCCAGCTCCCTGCTGCTCGCCGCACCTAACCCCGCTCCATCTGACTGCACCGCATTCAAAGCCGCGCTTCCCAGGTTGAACGACCCGGAGGAGGCAGGGGTTGAGTGGGTATTGGCAGTGGCGGTGGCGCCAGGGAAGGAGGATTTTCTGGGGGTGATGAAGGGGGATCCTGGGGTGGAGGAGGCGCAGTGGGGAGGGGAGGAGCCGGCAACTGCTGCTGCTGCGACCGCGGCACCAGTGGGTGCGGCAGAGGCAGAGGCGGAAAGAGAAACCCTTGCGGCAGAACCAGGAGTAGCAGCAGCAGCAGCAGCAGCAGCAGCAGCAGCAGCAGCAGCAGCAGCAGCAGGTGTGCTGGGAAGGTCGAGGGACTGGGATGCGATTTGTGCTGACTGTGCTGCTGTTGCCAATTCGAGGGATAGCCTCTCGGTCTCTGCCTTAGCTGCTTGGATCTCTGCTTTGGCTGCGAGGGTTTCAGCGTGTGCCTCATCGACCTTCTTCATTGCTCCCTCCAGCTCCTGCTGTAGCTTCTGAATCTCTGCTGTCTTCGCCTCCTCCACGTCCAGCTGATTGGGTGGGAATGTGGGAGGGGGGGGACATCAAGGGGGGTCGAGAACGGAACTGAGTGGTGGGGAGCAGCGAAGAGCAAAGAGACGCACTTGCAGGTGTTCTCTCCTCCCTCCAGCTCCTGCTGCAGCTTGTGAATCTCTGCCGTCTTCGCCTCCTCCACGTCCAGCTGATTGGGGGGTTGAAACATCAAGAGGGGTTGAGAACGAAATTTTAGCATCACCAACCCGCGCTTCTCCAGCTTCAGCCGCCATGTGAGCTCCTCGCACTGCTTCTCTAGCTCTGGCAGCAGTTGACACAATAGCAGCAGCACCTACCTTACTTGCTAGCACCACTCCCTCACCCACCTTCGCTTCTCCAGCTGCAAAAACAGCTCTACCAGCAGTTGACATGACAGCAGCAGCACAGCACCTACTCTCAGCCAGCAGCACCACCCACTCACCCGCATTCTTTTCTCCAGCTGAAGCTGCCATGCGAGCTCCTCACACTGCTTCTCCAGCTTTGGCAGCAGTTGAGGATAATGCCAACCCTCCCCTCAGTAAACACAGCACGCTTCAGGAATTACCCCAGCAGCATCTACCCTACCGGCTAGCACCACTCACCCGCATTCGTTTCTCCAGCTGCAGCCGCCATGTGAGCTCCTCGCACTGCTTCTCCAGCTTCGTCTTTGCCTCTTGCAGTGCCCCCGTTTGCTTCGCGTCCTGTGGGTGAGGGGGCATGGGGTATGGGGCATGGTTCATGGGGTTGTGGCACGGCTTGGCATGTATAACGCACCACAGCCATCAACACTCGCTTGCAGCAATCATTCATCCATCTAGACTCACATGCTTGAGCTTCTTGAGCTCCAGGCGGGCAGCCCTGCCCCTCCATGAGGATTGCAGGACCAAAGCACTCTTCTTCCTCCTCCCATACTCCTGCTGCTGCACGTGCCCTCTCCACTTGCTCTGCACAGCACACGCAATGTCGAAAATGGTACAGCATGAGGAAAAACGTCAGCCTAAAGAAAGCAACTGCAGCAGGAGCAGGAGCAGGAGCAGAAACAGGAGCAGGAGCAGGAGCAGGAGCGGGAGCAGGAGCAGGAGCAGGAGCAGGAGCAGAAACAAAAACAGGAGCAGGAGCAGGAGCAGGAGCAGGAGCAGGAGCAGGAGCAGAAACAAAAACAGGAGCAGGAGCAGGAGCAGGAGCAGGAGCAGAAACAAAAACAAAAACAGGAGCAGGAGCAGGAGCAGGAGCAGGAGCAGGAGAAGCAAGCAGCAGCACTAGTCGTCTCCATCCCTTATTCCCAACACTCACACCCCCCAACCACACTCCACCTCTCAGCACCACTAAAAAACCCAAAATCAAATGACTTTATCCTCCATCCCAGCCCACCTGTATCTTGACAGCAGCCCTGTTGCCCTGTCTCCACCTCACCTTCTTGCGAGCCGCCATGCCCCTCGCCCCTGACTGCAGCACCACCACAACCTGCTACACCCCAATCGCCCCTTCTTACTCACAACTTCCAGCCGAATCCCATCGCTCAGCATCGCTAATAAGCCCAGACCCAGCCCCCTTTACCCTCCATCCCAGCCCCACCTGTATCTTGACAGCAGCCCTGTTCTCCCGCCTCTGCCTCGCCTCCTTGCGAGCCGCCATGCCCCTCGCCCCTGACTGCAGCACCACCACAGCAACTTGCCGCATCCCCTGCACCACTCACCCCCCTCAACCGAATTCCACCTCTCAGCAGCACCACTAATAGCCCCCCAAACACGACTCCCAGCCCACCTGTATCTTGACAGCAGCCCTGTTCTCCCGTCTCTGCCTTGCCTCCTTGCGAGCCGCCATGCCCCTCGCCCCTGACTGCAGCACCACGGCTGCCTGCCGTGTGCGCCGGTACTTGCTCTGAGCCACGAACCGCCGCACGTGCTTCTGCACACGCACTGCTGCCGCGTTCCTCCTGATGCTCTCGTATTGCAGCCGGGCCTTGTGACCTGATTGGGGGGAAAGGGAGGAGATGGGGCAGGGGTTAGGGGGATAGGGGAAAGGGACGGAAAAGAAGGGGTTGCTGCTGCCTCCCTGTCTCCTTCTCGCCCCTGCCTGCAGCACCACGGCTGCCTGCCGTGTGCGCCGGTACCTGCTCTGAGCCACAAACCGCCGCACGTGCTTTGCACACGCACTGCTGCCGCGTTCCTCCTGATGCTCTCGTATTGCAGGCGAGCCTTGTCGCCTGATGGCGGGAAGATGGCAGGGGACGGGGGAATGGGGACAAGGAAAGTAAGGGGAGGCGGCGGAAGCGCCTGCACTTGCAGCACTCCTTCTCGCAGGCGGCGGAAAGAGACGCCGCTGCATCCATGCCTTGAACGCTCTCTGGATGACCTCCACACCCCCTTTCCCCCTCACACACCCCTCTAGTGTGCTACTGCCCTCCTTGCCTCTATCTCACCTCGCCACAGCGCCTGCACTCGCAGCACTCCCGCGCGCAGCCGTTGGAACACACGCCTCTGCATCCACGCCTTGAGCGCCCTCTGGATGACCTCCGCACCCGCTTTCCCCCTCACACATTCCTCTAGTGCGCTACTGCCCTCCTTGCCTCTATCTCACCTCGCCACAGCGCCTGCACTCGCAGCACTCCCGCGCGCAGCCGTTGGAACACACGCCTCTGCATCCACGCCTTGAATGCCCTCTGGATGACCTTGGCGGCCTCCCCCAGCTTCTCCGCCCTCATCGCATCGAGGTCAGCCATCTGACCTGCTCTCAGGAACACCTGCGTCTTGCCCACCTGGGTGTTGTGTGGTTGGGTGGGGAGCGCGAGGTAGTCGGTGGAAGGACATGGGGGGAATGTGTGTGGGAGAATTGCGAATTCGTAATCTCTTTTGAACGTACGGAGAACAACACACTCGTGGGTTTGTGACAATGGATTCTGAGAAAACAATGACTTCTGAACATAATCATCCTACTGAGAGAATCCATGAATCGCAGGAACAGCCATTCGTGTAGCATACAGCAGCAGTGCTGGTGGAGCCTTTTGAGGCGCCTCACAAGTCCTAATGAGAGAATTCATGGATCACAGAAAGACCCGTTCTTGTAGCATGGAGCGGCAGTGCTGGTGGAGCGCACCGGACGGACACAGGAAGTGAATTCTGGAAAAAAACAAAACACAACAAACAGACAACCAATCAGGTTGGCCCACCTGGTAGTTGGCAAAGCCAAGCTTGTCCAGAAGAGTCGTGATTGCCGTCTTGTCATCCTGACTGGTGTGCCACATATGCACATGCACATGCAAGGGCACATGTAAGAAAAGGCAAAGAGTAAGATGGTGAATAAAAGGTTACTAGAAGTTGAGATTGCAAGAGGAACTGAGAGCTAGAGGTCGCATGAAATCACAAATGAGAGCAGCGAATTTCCATTCAGCTGCCAGCACAGGCACACGCACTCACTCACTCACTCACTCACTCACCCATCTGCCATCATACCCTCACACTCACTCACCTGCCGTCAAAGGCCTCAGGGTCACAGGAGGCAAAACGGTCAAGGAACTCATCTACGCTATTCCCTTAGCCCCCCTCAAAAGCACACTCATATGAGCTTCTATTGCCTTCACAAGCCACGCTCTCACTTGCCATCACAGGTACTCACTCACTCACATTGGGCACACATACTCGCTCACTCACCTGCCGTCACAGGCCTCTGGGTCCAGGAAGGAGAAGCGGTCCAGGAACTCGTCAAATGTGCGCCGCGTGGGATACCCTGCACAGCTGATTCGGATCGCCTCCAACACACCCTGCGGCACAAGGGTGGGAGAGGGAGAGGGGAAGAGCAAACGGACGCGTTGCAGTGATTGTCAGAGCTGTGGTGTGTGGGATAGCCGGCACAGCTGATTCAGATCGCCTCCAACACACCCTGTGGCACGCGGGTGGGAGAGAAAGAGAGGGGAAGAGCAAACGGGTGGGTTGTGGTAATTGTAAGAGCTGTAGTGTGTGGGATAGCCAGCACAGCTGCGGTGGATCGCCTCCAACACACCCTGTGAGACAGGAATCATGAGAGAAGAAAAGAGAGGAGAGGGGAGTCGAGAGGAGGGGAGACAAGGGGAGGGGGGGGGAGGGGAGGAGAGGAATATGTGAAAAGAGGGATGCGCGACAAGACGAGGGAGAGCGCTACAACCAAGAGAGAGCGGCACTCACCTCGCATTTGAGCTGGTAAAAATAGGTTGCATTCTCTAGCAGCTCTTTGTCATGATCACCCAGTGGCCTTACGGAGGGTGAGCACCATTCACTCGCTCACTCACTTGCTCACTCACTCACTCACTCACTCACTCAATCAATCACTCACCCCACATCTGAGCTGGTGGATGACATTGACGTTCTCAAACAGCTGTGGCTGGTACATGCCGTTGGGCTTCACACAGCGGATGTAGTTCGGTTGAGTCTGGTTCAGAGTGGCCATGAGCTCTGCCAGTTGTTGCTGCGGGGAGGACGGGGGGAGGAACAGGGCACAGGGGCACAGGAGTAGGAACAAGAGTGGGGCCCAGGGACACAGGTGATGGATGCTGCAGAGATGCAGTTCGGTTGAGTCTGGTTGGGAGTGGCCCCATGATGAGCCCTGCCAGTGTTTGCTGTGGAGAGCAAGAAGAACGGGGCACAGTGGCAGAGGTGTCGTAACAAGATTGAGGCGCAGGGGAACAGGTGTTGGGCAGCTGCAAGGGTGCAGTTCGGTTGAGCCCGATGAAGGGACAAGCGGGCAAGGAAGTGAGACTAAGAATTTGCTTCACCTTGAAGCTGGAATCCAACAAGGCGAACTTGGTCGTGGCCTTGTGGCCAGGGAGGGTGTAACCAAGATGCTTGATTCGGCCAAAAAGGGGAAGGTGAAGAGCAGGAAACCGCTGGAAGGAGTAGGCAAGGCAAGAAGGAGGGGTCCCAGCCTCGAAGTGAGGAGGGGTGAGGGGTCGGCTGTACCTTGAAGCTAGATCCCAGGGACGTGAACTTGGTCTTGGCCTTGTCACCCGCGGGGATGGGGAAGAGGCCAGCCACGAAGGGGTCCTTGGACTCGGACAGCACCGTCTGATGCTCCATCACCACATAGTCCTTGTTCTTCTCGAGGAAGAGATCGGTTTGGTAGGTCACCTGGAGAGTTACGGGGAGCAGCAAGGAAGGCATGGGGTGGAAGGAGGCTAAGGTGAATGGACTCTGACAGAACCGTCTGATGCTCCATCACCACATAGTCCTTGTTCTTCTCGAGGAAGAGATCGGTTTGGTAGGTCACCTGGAGAGTTACGGGGAGCAGCAAGGAAGGCATGGGGAGGAAGGAGGCTAAGGTGAATGGACTCTGACAGAACCGTCTGATGCTCCATCACCACATAGTCCTTGTTCTTCTCGAGGAAGAGATCGGTTTGGTATGTCACCTGGAGAGACCGCACAGTAGGAGAGAAAGCGAGGATACGGAGGGAAGAGGTATCACCACGTAGTCCTTGTTCTTCTTGAGAAACAGGTCCGCGTCCGCCTGGTAGGGCACCTGGAAAGAGTGACGGGGAGTAGGAAAAAAGGCATGGTGAGCAAGCATGCTCTACTGTATGACCTCTAGTCACCGTCCGGTGCTCCATCACCACATAGTCCTTGCTCTTCTCAAGAAACAGGTCCGTTTGGTAGGTCACCTGGCAGGTCAGTCAAAGAAAAAAGGGTGAGTGAACAGGCAGAGGTGACAGGAGGCTTGAGAGAGCATGCTCCATCACCATGTAGTTCTTGTTCTTCTCCAGGAAGAGGTCCGTCTGACACATGACCTGGCGAGTGACAGGCATGAAGAGGGAGGATGCTCAACTGAATGAGCCCTGCCCCACCTGCCTAACCTGCCCCACCTTGCCGAAAGGTCGATAATAGTGAGGCAGGTCGTGAGGCAGGTTAGGCTGGTGCTCATTCAGTTGAGCATTGGGAGGGGAGGATGCTCAACTGAATGAGCACCAGCCTAACCTGCCCCACCTTGCCGAAAGGCCGAAAGGTCGATAATAGTGAGCACCGGTCTGCTGCAACACCATGAGCCCTGCCCCACCTGCCTAACCGCCGCCCACACCTTGCCAGCATAGTGATCGATGGTGAAGTCGGTCTGAGACAGCTTGGGCTTCTCAAAGCGCGCGTGGGTTCCCACTGTCTGGTAGAGCTTCGTGGCAAACGTCTCGTGATTCGACTTGGGGAACATGCTGCTCACACACAGAGGGAAGGATGGGGGCAGGCAGCGGGTGCGGGAATGGGGGGGAGGGCATGAGAACGGAAAGATTTTGAAACATGCTTCGCTGAAAAGGTCTCATGGTTCAACTTGGGGAACATGTGGCTCACACGTAGGGGTGGGGCAGGGGTGGAGAGTGGGGGGAAAGGGAGGAGGGGAGGGGGGGCATAAAAGTTTGGAACATGCTTCGCTGTAAACGTCTCGTGGTTGGACTTGACAAACATGCTGCTCACACATGGGGGTGAAGGTGGGGGACGGGCGGAGGGGGGCGGGGTCAGGGGCAGGGAAGTAGGGGGACCTAATGTTTGGAGCATGCTTTGTGGCAAAAGTCTCTATGGTAGGACTTGCTGAGAACATGTTGCACACACGCGAAAGAGGGAAAAAACAGAGACGGGGGTGGGGACAGGTGTGGGCACTGCTTGTACAACGACGGGGGTGGAAAGAAGAATAGGGATTATAAGGAGCAAGGGAGGTGGGAACAGGCTGGGTAGAGGGGATTCAAGGAAGCAAGGGGCAAGGAACAGCTACAAAAAGGGGGTACTACACATTGCTGTCAGCACCACCACCATGACGCACGTACCATTGCTCGTCGAGGAGTGAGATGATCCCCATTGGCTTCTGCACACACACATGCACCGAGCGCAGAAGAAACATGAGAGGTCAATGGGCGCACCAGGACCAGGTGGTGGCGTCATGGTACAACTTTTGAGGCGCCTCAAAACTGAGGCGCCTCAAAACTAAACATGAGGTCAATGGGCGGACCAGGACCAGGACCAGGACCAGGTGATGGCATCATGGTACAACAACGCAACCGTCCACGGATGCATGTCACCAAATAATCACACAGGCCGTGCACAAGTATTCACGCCACCCCCACTTTTCGATGATCTCTCTCCAGCACGTTTCGGTTGTCCACAAACTCAATGTAGCTCCAGCACGTCTCAGTTGATGATGCACAGCAAGAAGGTCTTACAACACCCCCCCCCTTCCCCCCCGTCACACCTTTTCTATTAGCTCCAGCACGTCTTGGCTGTCAACAATCACCATGTAGCTCCAGAACAGCCTCACCTGCCCACACCTTTCTACACCGCAACAAACCACGCAGTCCCTCCCATCACACCTTTTCAATGAGCTCGAGCACGTCTTGGTTGTCCACAAACTCGATGTAGCTCCAGAACAGCCTCACCTGCCCACACCTTTCTACACCGCAACAGACCACACAGTCCCCCCCCTCACACCTTTTCAATGAGCTCGAGCACGTCTTGGTTGTCCACAAACTCGATGTAGCTCCAGTTGATCTCCTCCTTCTCGTACTCCTCCTGCTCCGCCTTGAACACGTGCTGGTGGGAGAGAGTAATGGAAGGGGACAGGAGGGATCGGATGGATGGGATGGGAAGAGGTGATGACTACAAATGAATCTCCTCCTTCTCGTACTCCTCCTGCTCCGCCTTGAACACGTGCTGGTGGGAGAGAGTAATGGAAGGGGACAGGAGGGATCGGATGGATGGGATGGGAAGAGGTGATGACTACAAATGAATCTCCTCCTTCTCGTACTCCTCCTGCTCCGCCTTGAACACGTGCTGGTGGGAGAGAGTAATGGAAGGGGACAGGAGGGATCGGATGGATGGGATGGGAAGAGGTGATGACTACAAATGAATCTCCTCCTTCTCGTACTCCTCCTGCTCCGCCTTGAACACGTGCTGGTGGGAGAGAGTAATGGAAGGGGACAGGAGGGATCGGATGGATGGGATGGGAAGAGGTGATGACTACAAATGAATCTCCTCCTTCTCGTACTCCTCCTGCTCCGCCTTGAACACGTGCTGGTGGGAGAGAGTAATGGAAGGGGACAGGAGGGATCGGATGGATGGGATGGGAAGAGGTGATGACTACAAATGAATCTCCTCCTTCTCGTACTCCTCCTGCTCCGCCTTGAACACGTGCTGGTGGGAGAGAGTAATGGAAGGGGACAGGAGGGATCGGATGGATGGGATGGGAAGAGGTGATGACTACAAATGAATCTCCTCCTTCTCGTACTCCTCCTGCTCCGCCTTGAACACGTGCTGGTGGGAGAGAGTAATGGAAGGGGACAGGAGGGATCGGATGGATGGGATGGGAAGAGGTGATGACTACAAATGAATCTCCTCCTTCTCGTACTCCTCCTGCTCCGCCTTGAACACGTGCTGGTGGGAGAGAGTAATGGAAGGGGACAGGAGGGATCGGATGGATGGGATGGGAAGAGGTGATGACTACAAATGAATCTCCTCCTTCTCGTACTCCTCCTGCTCTGTCTTGAACACGTGCTGGAACGGCAAGGAATTGGATGGATGGGATTTGAGGGTCACAAAAGGTGGAGGCTGCAAGGAGTGCAAGAGGTGCATCACACAGGTTGCGATGCATAGTGCAAAGTGCACACACTCACGTGGTTGAAGTGCTGCTGAAGCTTCTCGTTCGCAAGGTTGATACAGAACTGCTCAAAACTGAAAGCGGGCGAGGGAAGAGACAAGGAGTGGGAGCGTTTGGTGAGGGAGGAGAGCAAGCTCTAAGAGAGTGTGGAAGAAACGATTCGGCACAAAGAGAGAAAAAGCAGGAAGGAGAGCAAACGAGTGGATGCCCTTACGAGCTGTCCCCAGAGCTGCCACTCTGACACAATCTCATGCCTTCATTAGAGCGCTGTCAAGGCAACCAGCCACCTGCATGTAATTGGGCGTTGAGGCTCTCCCACCCAACCCAGCCTACTGCCTTCATGCCTCCCTCTATAGCCCAGCCCCTTGCATTCCAAGCTCCCTCTCATACACCACACCGCCACACAGACTCTGTGTTGCCACGCCCTGACCGATCTCTGAGGCGCCTCAAAAGATTTTTGAGGCGCCTCAAAAGCCCCTTGCAATCCAAGCTCCCTCTCATACACCACCACACCACACAGACTCTGTGTTGCCACGCCCTGACCGATCTCTGAGATCACCTTTGAGTCGACTCAAAAGCCATTCTACGCTCCCAACCACACAACACCAACACCCACCACACTCCATGTGAAACCTATCACGGCCTGACTGACCTGTTGCACTGGAAGGTCTCGAAGCCATAGATATCGAGCACACCGATGATGGTCTTGGCGTTGGGGTCCTGCCCTATGGACTTGTTCACCTTGTCCACCAGCCTGGGGCGAGGGGGAAGGAGAGGTGGGGGGATGGGGGGATGGGTGCGGGTAAGCGAAAGGATAGCGTGTCTAGAAGGTTGCGCACGCCAATAATGGTCTTGGCGCTGGGGTCCTGCCCTATGGACTTGTTCACCTTGTCCACCAGCCTGGGGAGGAAGTTAGAGGATGGGGCCAGGGAGGAGGGGAAGGCAGTTAAATGAAAGCTAAGCACGCTGATAATGGTCTCGGCGTTGGGTCCTGCCCTATCGACTTGTTCACCTGTCCACCAGCCTGTGTCGATGGGAAGGGAAACGAGAGATGGAAAAACAATGGGCAAGGCAAATCAAAAGACTCAGCCAGGGAAGGCAAAGGGGGAAGCGGGGGGGTGGGAGGAGGGCTGTTGAGATGACTACAAGGGTGAGGCGGTTCTCCCAGCTCACCAGTCGAAGAGGCGGGCATAGATGGTCTCAGCTGATGACCGCTGCTGCTGGGACGAGCTCCTTCTTGATGTTGCTGTCTCAGCTTACCAGACAAATGGATTAATTAAGCTCAACGTTACAACATCTGTGTGCTGCCCAGCTCACCAATCGAACAGCCGAGCATAGATGGTCTTGGCGAGCGTGTCTCGGCTGATGAGCGCCGCTGCCGGGTCGAGCTCCTTCTTGATGTTGCCGTCCCTCGTCACCAGCGTGCGCGATATGAGCGACTCTCGTAACTGCTTCTTGTCCACCCTGTGGGAAACAGTGGGACACGAGGGTAAGGAAGAAGCAGGCACGGGTGGGTTTTCAATTGGCTCTAAAGTGTCGGCTTGAGCAGCGAAGCAGCGGCCTCCTGATGGTACTTGGACTCGTTGCCAGACACCTTGGCGAGTGCTTGCTTCCATTCCTTACCTGGGTTGTGATGATCCAGACTAAACCATCCCCTCCCCCCTGCATGCTTCTCGCTTGAGCAGGGAAGCAGTGGCTCCCATGTGGTACTTGGACTGGACTTGTCCCCAAACAACTTGGACGAATCAGGCAAGTCCTTCCCGTGCTTGCATGGGCGGCTGGTTGTGACCACCAGAATATACACACCTAGTCAATTGCACTACCTACACTCTAGTTGCTTGTGTCTCACCTGAGCAGGGAGGCAGCGGCCTCCAGGTGGTACTTGGACTTGTCGCCCGACACCTTGGACGAGTCGGGCTGCTTGCCTGGTGCAAACGTGATGTTGCCCAGATGGAGAATTGCCGCCACCACCTGGAATATCGAGTCCTGTTGTGTGTAGATGAAAGAGGGGGGGGAAGGAGGAGGGGGGACAATTTTGTGAGGAAACATGGAATTCTGGCTTCTGCCATGAAGATCAGGTGAATGGGGGGAGGGAAGGAAGAGGGGTTAATAAAGGGGAGAGAGAGAGCAAGAGCGATGGAGAGAGGTTATCGAGAATCGTGACTATGCCCAGACTGCTGCCAAATTTGGGGCGCCTCACAAGTCGTCTCTCAACCATTATTCGTCTCGTTCCCAGGCAGCCCGATGCCCCACCTGTTCAGTCCCACTCATCTGTTCGCTCAACCTCAATCCACACGTGCTCCAAACCACATACCCCTGCACTATTAGCCCCACCTGTTCCTCAGGGCTGAGCCCAACGACGTCCATGGCCCGTCTCGTCTTGATGTACTCATCCGCGTTTGTCTCCTTGCCCGGCAGCTCGAAGCAATTGCTCTGGTTGAGGTAGTGGAACGTCTCTGCTGGCGCCAGCTTCAGCTTCTCCACCTCCTGTGGGGATGGCACATTGGGGCACATAGGCACATGGGTGCTTGGGTGTGAGAATGGGTGCATGGGTGTGGGGAGAACAAAGCAGCTTGAAGCAGTTGCTCTGGTTGAGGTAGTGGAATGCCTCTGCTGGCGCCAGCTTCAGCCTCTCCACCTCCTGTGGGGCCAAAGGGGGCTCATACGCACATGGGGACATGGGTGAGATGGGAAGGTGGGCATATGGGGTGGGCAAGGCAGGTCGATGCAGCTGCTCTGGTTGAGGTAATCGCAGTTACCTCAGGGGATGCAAGCATGCTCCCGAGGAGAGCTGGTAGAAGCAGTGGTAGTTGTGCGCAGGGTCTGAAATCTGCACCACCCTTGATCTCTCCAGCAGGTGCGTGCATTGTGCACACGGCTGCTCCTGAGATGCGTCCAGATTCATCGAACTGGATTCCCACAGCGTACCTCAGGGGAAGCACCTGAGCAGAGCTGGTAGAAGCAGTGGTAGTTGCGCTCAGGGTCTGAAATCTGCACCACCCTCAATATCTCCAGTGCAATTGCTGCCCTGCTGCTACTCTGGGCCATGCACTCCTGACTAAAGTCAATCCATTCAGAATTCCCTCAGAAAGAATCAAGACAGTTGCTACTACCTCAGGAGAGGCTCCCGAGCAGAGCTGGTAGAAGCAGTGGTAGTTGCGCTCGGGGTCTGAAATCTGCACCACCCGGGACCTCTCCAGCAGGTACGTGCGCACGGCTGCTCCTGAAATGCGTCCAGATTCATCGAACTGGATCTCGACAAACTTGCCAAAGCGACTGTACCACAGATGGTGCGCACGTGGAGTGTGTGTGCATGGGAAATAGGGGGAAAGTGAGCAAGCAGTGGAAAAAGTGGGGGACGTGGGGGAAGTGAGGGAGGTGGGGGAAGTGGGGGAAACTGGGAGCAAGGGGGGAGGCATATGGGGACGGATGTGGGGGATCAAGGGGAAGTCTAGTAGAAAGGCTGCTTCTGAGTGATGACCAGAGATGTACGTTGAATGGGACATACTGAGCTTGGAATGAAGAGTTGGGATAACGATTGAGATTGGTGGTTGGGATGCGGAATCGAGTATTCAGAGGGGGTCAAGATTATGAAAGGGAATGGCGGTTCGGGTAGAGGTTTGAGCTGAAAAAACGCCATCCAACACCTGGATTTGTTCATGACATTTCTTGAATGGAACTACCAAGCGCATCAAGCAACAAATGCATTCTTTGCATTGATTACATTGACACTGGGATTGAGAAAAGAGACCATCCCACCTGGAGTTGTTGTTCCTGACAGTCTTGGCATTCCCAAATGCTTCGAGCAGCGGATTGGACTGCACACACGTAGTATGCCAGCATAAAGAAAATGCATCTTTAGTAATTGGCTGAAATCGTCACGACCAGAAGCAGCAACAGCCAGCCGCTTTTATTACACACACACACAAACACACACACACACACACACACACACACACACACAAAAAAAAAAAACCACCGGAGCAGAAAGCATAGAAACGCTCCAGCATTTACCACCGTGTGAAACCTCTCAACACATACCTCAAGCACCTGAGCCTCCACGGACCGCCCCTCGGTGGCCCGCCCGCCCATGTACGCCAGGTACTGCATGAGCAGCTTCGTGGTCTCCGTCTTGCCGGCACCGCTCTCCCCACTCACGAGGATCGACTGGCTCAGCTTGTAGTCCACCATCGCCCTGCCAGTGACGACACGGGGTTACCAGGTAACATGGTGGTAGCAAGACAAAACGGTAGGGGCAGGTTGGGTGGCAGGGTGGTGAAGACCCACTGGCTTATAGTCCACCATCGCCCTGCCAGTGGCGACATGGGGTTACCAGGTAACATGGTGGTGGAAAGGGAGCAGGGGGCAGGGAGCAGGAGGGAGGTTGGGTGGAGGGTGACAAAGGCCCACTGGCTCAGCTTGTAGTCCACCATCGCCCTGCCAATAGCCACAAGGGGTTACCAAGTAACATGACGGGAGCAGCGTGGTAGGGTGGGTGGGGGGAAGATGAGGTGGGAGCGGGGAGGTAGGGTGGCAGGTTGACAAGGCATATATGGTGTGCATGAACGCACGCATGAACGCTCTCCACACACGCACGGAAGCACACACACGCACGGAAGCACACACACGCACGGAAGCACACACACGCACGGAAGCACACACACGCACGGAAGCACACACACGCACGGAAGCACACACACGCACGGAAGCACACACACGCACGGAAGCACACACACGCACGGAAGCACACACACGCACGGAAGCACACACACGCACGGAAGCACACACACGCACGGAAGCACACACACGCACGGAAGCACACACACGCACGGAAGCACACACACGCACGGAAGCACACACACGCACGGAAGCACACACACGCACGGAAGCACACACACGCACGGAAGCACACACACGCACGGAAGCACACACACGCACGGAAGCACACACACGCACGGAAGCACACACACGCACGGAAGCACACACACGCACGGAAGCACACACACGCACGGAAGCACACACACGCACGGAAGCACACACACGCACGGAAGCACACACACGCACGGAAGCACACACACGCACGGAAGCACACACACGCACGGAAGCACACACACGCACGGACCTGAAGGAGGTTTCAGCGATGGCAAACGCGTGGGGACTCAGCTCTCCGAGGCGTGACCCTCGGTACTGCTCCATCATGTGCACATCGTACAGGTGGGGCAGGCCCCACCTCCAAGAACCGCACTCCACACATGCACGGACCCACACTACCACACTCCACACGTGCACGAACCTGAAGGAGGTTTCAGCGATGGCGAACACGTGGGGGCTCAGCTCGCCCAGGCGGGAGCCCCGGTACTGCTCCATCATGTGCACATCGTACAGGTGGGGCAGCCTTTGGAAGGGATTCACTGCAATGAGAATGCTGCCCGTGTACGTCTGCTCACGCACCACCACCAAGGAAATCCAGGCATGCATTGCGCGGAGGATACTGATACTGCCTTCGTACGTCCACCCGCGCACCACCATCAACACAGCCAGGCAGCAAATTGCCCCGAATATTGGGTTGCAAGAACTGCAGGAAAGTATGCAACTTACGTATCTGACAGCAACTTACGTATATGACAGCAACTTTCGTACATCTCAAAGAGGGACCATCGCATGGCCACGTTGTGTAGGTCGCACAAGGCTCGTGAAGGTTCGCGAGCTTCGCTTACACAAGACAACGCCAGGTGCGGCGACGAGGTGGTAACTCACGTAGATTTCGTCGAGCGAGTATCGCACGGCGAGGTTGTGCAGGACTCCGGGCTCGTGGAGGTACGCGAGCTTCGTCATGTCGTCCACACCGCCGCTCGGCGCGTCTGGGTCCTTCGGATGGATGTGCTTCAGCCGGTACACCGTCTGCACAGACGCATAGTATGGATCAGTACGGTCTACCAGATGACATTGTTAGCATGCTAACAGTCTGACGCTAGTCGTAGCACGAGTCGACGGAGACGGGTGGATGTGCTTCAGCCGGTACACCGTCCGCACGGACGAACAGCCTGGATCAGTACGGTCTAGTACCAGCTGACATTGAAGGCATGCTAACCGTCTCGCCCTAGTCCTAGCACAAGTCGGAACGAGACGGGTGGATGTGCTTCAGCAGGTAAACCGTCGGCACGGACGACGAGCGTGTCGGATGCTGGATCAAGATCAATCCGACGCGTGATACGACTAGGGTGGGACGGTTAGCATTCTGCGAGTTGACATGATACAAACTAGCTTGACACGAATGAGCGTAACACGAACGAGCGCGATACGAACGAGCGTGATACGAACGAGCGTGATACGACCGAGCGTGATACGATGAGCGACGGACGAGACAGACGAAATCCATGACACCAGCGTCGCTTCGTCGAAATCCGTTCACACATGGTCCGAAGATTCGAGAATGTTCAACGTGGGACGGCTGAGCCGCGTCTGTTTGTCTGTACGAACCTCCTTATCCCCGACTTTGACCGTTACTTTCTTCTTCTCCACCTTCACCACCTCCCCCTCCACCCATGCTTGGTCCGAGTCCTCGACCCACACGAGCGACCCCACGACGACTTTCGCGTCTGCCGTCTGCAGAAACAAGAAGTGAAGAAACCGAAAACGGATGACTTGTGGGTGGATTTGTAAGCTTCTGAGCATGTATGGGACAGAAGTGCGATGCAGTTTTCTAAGCTTCCTACCATGATGTCCTCCTGTTGCTGACACTTGGCCGCTAGTGGGTTCGCACGGATCCGATCAGCATGGCCAGTAAGAGAGAGAGGTGGTCTCCTAGGAGATACGAGCCGGGTTTAGGAGGCACCGCTGAAGGTGTGACTACCAGAATCAACTCCCTACTCTGGACCTAGATTCCTCCTCGCAAATCTCGTGATGAATCTGTGACTTCTTGGGCTGGTTGGTGGTATGAACCAGATTGTGCCTCTAACGAATCATTGAAAGTGATGACTTTGGTTGCTTTCATTACTGCGACTTGGAAATTGTATCGTATCGTAAACCTCCTTTATCGCACACTCTATACGTAGAATATATAACAACCGCTCTGCGCCGATATACAAACTGGAGAAGCATCGACATCATCCTTGTTGCTGCTGATTGGACCGATTGAGCGATGTTGGGTGCAAGGGAAGTGCAAACCGTCGATTTGGGCCAACATCACAGGCATGCAAAACATTTCGGTAACCCTATTCGATTGTATGCAAAACCGTCGATACCCCAGTTCCACTGCGCAAATCTGTCTGGTACCGCCACTCAAAACACTGTGTAACAGCTGACGCAGCACAATAAGGAAGCAATACGTGCAACAATCGAATACGCTTTCGATTTCGTTTCATTCTATTCTTACCGCGCCTTGTTTGGCGCCTGACAACGATTCCTGCGGGCAACTATTTTCCGTTGAATGCGCACGATAATTTCGACCGGAAAATTCGTTGGAATGAAAGTAATATATATTGCTACCGGGTGCTGTTAGGGCAGGCAAGAAAAAAATAAAACCCCTAGGGACCAGGACTCGTTTCAGGGAGGGATCAACCCTAAACACGGGAAAGGGCATTGTTTTTAGGGTTGATGCCTCCCGAGTCGCATCCCTTTCCGATTGGGTTTTATTTTTTCTGCAGGTGTAGCGAACAGTGCTGCTCATATGGCAGAACAGTCGCCCGAATAAATCGAGTTTTATAGGACAACAAAGCGTGGTAAAAGTCTGCTTTTGAAGTCAACAGAACCGCGATTCTAGGGAAATATGTCAATAACTCCAAAACCGAGGTATCGACGGTTTTGCATACAATCGAATAGGGTTACCATACTATTTTGCATGCCTGTGATGTTGGCCCCGTCGATTTTGATGAGGCTGAGAGCTTGCCACGGTGGCACTATCAGAATCCCTACAACATCGCGCCCAACCCACTTTGCCGGTTGGTCATTATGCAGATCACCGTTACTGGGTTGGCATAAATAAAAGCAGGTTAGTGTGTGTAATTATTAAAACAATGTGCACACTGAAAGTGCACCATTTTAAGTGCATGCCAACGTTCATTATTATATCATGGGCAGTGTGGGCGGACAGTAGGTTTTGCTGCCAAGGAGCGAGAGAAGAGGAAGGCGACGGATTATCAACCTTTTCTGCACAGGGGGGTTCGTTTCTTCCCGTTGATTCTTGAGACTTGGGGTTGCTTAGGGGGAAGCTTTCGACAGTGGTTGCGACAGCAGGGGGGGGTTCAAGTAAAGGTGGCTCTTAACAAAGGTGTGGGAAGGGGCAACAGCTTGGGTTTTTCGGAATACTTGGTGGGGTCCTTGACAGCCGCGGTAGGGGTAGCTTTGCAGAAGGCACAGGCTCGGGTGATTCTTTTGCGGGCGGCATACACGTTGGGCCAGTCAGAGGCGGAGTGGGTAGAGCGAGGGGGTGGGGAGCAGGAGTTTGGAGAGGGAGCACCATGGGTGGACGTGCCCTACTTGGTCGACATGCGGCTGTAGATGTCTTAGGAAGCAAAAATTTGTTTCGGGTTGTGAAAACAAATCAAATAAAAAACAATGAATATAATTACATTACATTACGTACCGGCTTAAATCTGTTGCATTAGTAGCTTATTGTTTACAATCCATGGCAGAACGAACATGGACAAGTTTCCAGGGTGGTTGTCGAAGGTGGGTGTAGTGGAACAGATGTTTGAATTGTGAAAGTGTCGAGGAATGAGATTGACTAAGGGAAAGTTGGGTACAAGTACAAACCCTAGAAAACTGTACCCCATATGTGCTACCCCACTACAGCCTACAGCAGCTATGTCATATAAATCTGACACACCCCCATAGGCAAAGTGGGGGAGAACAATGGGTCACAAGACCAGTCAAGCAAAGCAAGGCAAGCTCAGGGTGGATCACGAAGTCACCACACATTCCGAGCACAAGTTCAAGGCCAGAAGGCCAGTTTACATGCAGGATTACATATATATATAAGGCTAGACAAGCAAGAGCAGGTGTATATGTATATATATGAAACAGTACAAACAAGGTCAAGGGGTGAGCAAGTGAGGCAAGGCAGGCACAAGACCAAGCTGAGTACAGAAGCGCTGATGATCACAAGGCGCAAGTGCCTTGGTGAAGATATCAGCAGTGTTGGCCTGAGAGGCCACGTACGCAAGACGCAGCTGACCACGCTGCTGTAGCTTACGAGCAAGGAAGTAGCGAAGAGCAATGTGCTTCGTTCTGTGCTCCAGTCTCTGCTCCCGACACAAGGCCAGCATGGCCTTGTTGTCTACGTACAGCACTGGAGGAGAACGAGGCGGCTCTCCAAGGTCAGTCAGCAGGTAGGTGAGCCAGCGAAGCTCCTGTGCAGCCATGGCTCCTGCGTAGATCTCAGCCTCACAACTGGAGCCGAGAACAGAGGACGAGCGGGTAGCCCGCCACGAAACAGAGCCGGAACCAAGGCTGAAGGTGTAACCCTGTGACGACCGCTGCGTAGCCTGGTCGTCAGCCCAAGAAGCGTCTGCGTGCCTAGTGAGGACCACTGGACTCTGCCCTCCAAGCACAAGCCCCATGCCCGACGTACTGCACAAGTAGCGCAACACCCTCTTCGCTGCAGCCATGTGCTCCGGTCTGTGTCTCCCAGGAGCAACATAGCGTGCGAGAATGCTAAGAGGGTATGCAAGGTCAGGTCGTGTGCAGGTCATCAGGTACATGAGGCAGCCAACAAGCTCTGGGTACGGGCCACTCGACTCTACGGACTCATCCGAAGGCAGAGCTGAGAGCGAGTGGCGAGTAGGCAGAGGAGTGGCCTGAGGCGAGGAGTACGTGAAGCAGAAGCGCTGAAGGACCTGCTGCACCATGTGTGACTGAGTCAGGGTAATGGTGCGGCGTGCTCTGTCCCGGGTGATCTGCAAGCCAAGGTAGCTGCGCAGTTCACCCAGGTCTATGCACGTGTGTCTCTTCTGCAGCTCGGACTTCACGTGGGCGAGTCCAGCAGTGTCAGCTGTGGCAAAGACCAAGTCGTCGACGTACACGAGGATGTAGAACGGCGGCAAAGAAGTGTCGGTGCGCAGAAACAGCGACGGGTCGGCAGTAGAGGGAGCAAACCCAAGAGCCGCAAGTGTAGTCCTCAGTGTGTCGTGCCACTCACGTGGTGCCTGGCGGAGACCGTAGACTGGCCGCCGGAGGCTCCACTGGGTGCCAGGAGGAAAAGACCCAGTGAAGCCAGGTGGGCGACGCAGCCAGATCTCCTCGTGCAGGCTGCCCTGCAAGAAAGCAGTGCTGAAGTCAAGAGAGTGCAGCTCGTAGTCACGGTGAGCAGCTATGTGCAGCAGTACCCGAAGACTGGTCATCTTCGGGGTGGGAGAGAAGGTCTGAAAGTAGTCAACTCCCTGCCGCTGACTGAAGCCACGAGCCACGTAACGCGCCTTGAAGACAGGCGGAGAACCCGGCGGCCGCTTCACCCTGAAAATCCACATGCCACTGACGATGTTCGCCCCAGGTGGGGGAACCTCGTCAACGTAGGTGCCTGTGGACTTCCAGGAAGCCATCTCTGCGTCCATGGCTGCCTGCCACTGAGAGGAGTAGGGACCCTCTATCGCCTCCGCGTAGGAGCGCGGAGTCGGGATGTCAAGTGCATCCGGGTCTCCCTCAGGGGTAAGCAGTACGGACACGAGATGAGGTGAAACAGCAGCCAAACACTGGAACTCCTCCTGCCTGTCCTCAAGGACGTCCGTGCCAAGGGCACACTCACCCCCGACGGACGGAGGACAGGCAGACTCAGACTCAGCAACAAGACTAGCAGCGTAGTCTAGACGACAGCGAGCAGCAAAGTCGACGAGCTCAGTAACTAGGGCAGACGCAGCAGCGGACTCAAAGGAAGGGTCAGTGACAACAGTAGCAAGGAGACGCGTGACAGTAGGACTGGCAGCACGAAGAGAGTCCGACTCCGGGTCGGGAAGAGCAAGAAGAGAGGACTCAGGAGGAGAAGGCAAAGGGGCACGCAGAGGAGCAGTGGACGGACGCAGAGACATCCGGTGCGTGCCAGGGACAGGAGGAGGATGCTGACGCGAACCACGACCACTAGTGCAAGCAGCACGGACAGGCGACGCAGGGCGAGACGCAGGCTCACGACGCTCAGCAAGACCTCCAGTAGGACCAGTGTAGGGAGAAGGAGCAGGCAGTGGGGAGGCCGGCTGTAACTGTAACTGTGACGGGACAGGCTGTGGACACTCAAAGGGAGGAGGAGGAACAGGAGAAGGCGGGAGACCAAGAACCTGCTCAAGGAGCGGAACGAAGTACGGTCGAGGCCGCGCAGTGACTCCAGACACAGCAGGGACAGCACCAGTACCCCAAGTGGTAGCACCAGCGCCAGCAGCACCTCCAGCTCCAGTACCTCCAGCAGCACCAGTAGCACCCCCAGCAGGACCGCCTCCAGGACCGACAGCAGTAGCCTCAGCGTCAACACCCTCAGTAGCTCCAGCTCCAGTCGGACCACGAGAAGACGCAGTAGCACCTGCTCCAGTAGTACCCGCAGGCCCAGCAGCTCCAGTACTCCCAGTACGAGCACCTCCGGGACCCGCGGCACCAGCACCCTCAGCAGCCAAAGAACCTCCAGCTCCAGCAGCACGCCTCCACCGCCGGGCAAACCACTCGCGCAGCTCCGGTGGAGAGAGTGGCTCCCGCCG